GATATGTTACAGCATTGCTGCCTTGTATTGAACAACCTTGTGCTCATATTGTATCTACTTTGATCATCTCATCATGTCAATTCGTCATCGTACACCGTACCAAGTCCACACGAATATCAACGCAAGCTATGCGCCCGCTCGAAATCATCCCAGCGTCCCTTGCGCATGGGGTCCAGCTTCCGCAGCTTGGCGAGCCACCCCTGCAGCTCGGCCCTGTTGGCCTCGGTTTCCTCGCGCCCTTCGAGTCGCGCGAGGGCGGGCGTGTAGTCCATGAGCGCCTCATATGCCAGCTTGAGATCGTCGTCGTAGTCTTCAAGAAGGTCCTTAATGTTGTCGATCTCACTCTGCAGAATTGGCACCTTGTCTTCGGCACTCAGGTTGGGCGCAATCGTCTGCTTGCCTACTGGTTCCGTAATGTTGAGGACCAGGAATTGGTGATAGTACCAGCAGGACTGGTCTTCCGGCCCGACGTCGAGGGCTCTCCTCACCAACGAGAATTCTGCAGCCTGTCAGCTTCGCGAACCAAGTGTGATAAAGTATTCGCAAGGGCAAGGGGTGCCTACCTGCATCCAGAAAGGCCCGCCTCTCCGCGTCATTGAACCCCCTCTCATCCAGCAGGCGCGGGATGACCCGGCTCCGGTGATGCCAGGCGGAAAAGTTGGATAGCCCGGCGCTGATCATGCGCTCAGTGTACGCAAACTCCGCCTCTGACATGGTGCTGCCGGCGAGCGCCTCGCTCTCTAGAGTGCGGACGACGTGACGACGGTAGCCCCAGGCATGAAAGTTGCGCTGGTCCTTGGTGAGCATCAGGGCGACAAGACCGAGCTCCTCGTCCCAGACGCGGCGGGCGGCAGCCACCGGCAGCAGCTCGATGGCCTGCTGCAGCAGCCATAGGCGGTAGTTCCAGATCCAGTAGCACTTTGGGTTAGCCTTGATGAGGGGAAAGGTAAACTGTAACTCGGAGCGCAGCGTGTCGAGGACGAGTGCACTGTGCTTGTCGTCAGTTTTGTCGTCCGTTTTCAGGGTTGCGTTGGCCTCGGGGACCGCAACGTCAGGGGCCGGGCTCCCCTCAGCTGTTGTACCACTCCTCCCACTCGAGGGGTGTGGACGGGACGCGGGGGCTGGCTGGGTCACGGCCGAGCCAGAGGGCGACCATGCGGCGGAGGACGTTGGTGCTGTGGAGTGTGTGGAAGAAGTCGCGGACGGCGCCGACGGCGATGGCCCAGGCGAGCGTTTTGACAAGGAGCCACAGGTTAGGCAGCGCCTGCGGACGTTCCATGCCGTGTAGTGTTCGGGGTTGCGCGCAAGGAGGTCCGCCGTCAGGGACAGGGTCGCGGGGTCGGCGAGGGCGGAGGGGTCAGTGTTGGCGGCAAGCAGGCGGGCGTCGAGGTCGCGGTAGGCGGCAATCTTGTCCTGGTCGGCTTGGTACTGAGCTGGCGTACGGGCGCGGGACGTGCGGGCTACGCCGTGCTTTGGGCGTGCGTCAGCTTTATCGCGATGATTGGCAGAGCGGGCGATTGGGATGGCGTGGGAGTGATGATGATGGGGGGATTGCTTACGCTGGCCATGGCAGAGATGAAGAGAGAGCTTTCAACAAGAGAAGGAAGGTGTCCAGGATAAAGTCACGGCAGAACGGATCGACAAGGTGCCACTGCGGGCGAGGGTGGTCGGATCCGGATTATGCAGCAGAATCGGGACGTTGGCGGACTTGTCGGACTTGTCAGACGGTCTTGGGTATTTGGCACTTGGCGGGAAGTAAATGTGACGGTGCCAGGGATTCCCCACGCCCACGGGCGCCGCCCACCTCGTCATGTCACAATGCTGCCAGGAACAATCACCCCACCTCTCCTCACCGGCCGGATAGATAGGTACACCGAGGCGAGAGGTGCTGGTTCAGGCGGGCCCAAGCTCCCTGTTCGACAGCACACTAGTTCAATAGGTGACGATCTTGATGCAAGACGGCCTTGCTCCAGGGTGCTGTGGCATGTCCCCTGGTCGGTTTCTTGTGGTGTTTCAATGGTAAGGTAAGGTATGCACAATAAATAAAAGAAGAAACAATTTGGCTCTCATCTGATGGTAGAGAGCAGACGCTTCTCGGAGACGCTTCAGGAAATCAGAGCCAGGTGAA